TATATATATATATTATACGTATATATGTGTATATGTATATATATATATATGTAAATGTATACGTATATATATACATGTACATATATATATATATATGTATGTATATGTGTATGTATATATGTATATACATACAGACATAACTGCATCTATATATACATACGTATATACACATATACATATTATATACATATATGGATACGAATCTACATCTACATATATTCATATCATAGTCGCACAAACATATACTTAATATGTGTGTATATAGATACGCAGACTCATTTGTTTTTGAACACGGGGGACTCTGGGCGCGCGCATTTTGGGCGGTTTACGACGTGCAGCCAACTGCGAAATGCGCACAGTAGGAATCTCAACAAAAACAAACACAACAGAAGACTAGCAAACCGAGCATAGCCAAAAACTAGAAAACATAATAATCAAACAAAAAAAAGAACCAGCAACCCAAATTAACAAAAACAACACATATTTGTGCACTCCTGGAATCTGGTGCCCAAGTTCCGGAACATTCTTTGTTTTGTTATTGTTTTGGGTTCTTTTGTGTGTGTTTTGTGCGTTTGGTTTTTGGGGTCCGTTGCTTTTTTTGTTTTTGTGGTTCTTTCGGCAGTGTGGTCTCTGTCGGTTGTTTGTCCTATTGCCCGTATTCTGGAGTCACGGAAAGGGCACTCGTAGATATTCCGTTTGTATATAATCATAACTAGAATTAATTCTGCCCAGCATTATTGCTGGTACTGTTAAATGTGTGTCTGCAAGTATGCAAATAGATACTAATGCACAGATACTTCTGTAATTGATTTTCAGGTAAGGACAATGAAGTGTTTCATAGTACTTTGTGATCATGTTGCAGGTTTGTAACTAGGAAGCACATTGACGTGGTTACAATTATTTAGTCTTTAATCAAAGGCAAAACAAATGAACTATCAACAAGTTTGGACGTATATAGAAACTTGTGTGTGTATGAAAATTGTGCATATATATATATATAATTATATGTGTGTATATGTACCATATGTATTCATATATGAGTCTTTGTGTTTAAGATGTATGTGTACACTAATGTACTGATGTATACTTGAAATATCAGTATTGATGTGTATCCTACTCTTTGTTCTACTTCATAAACAGGAGGTTGAACATCATCAACGAACGAATTTTTGTTTGTTTGCTCATTCACTTTATTCGTTTTTTTATTAACGTTGGATCTGGGGCCATGAGGGCGGGACACCACATACACACGCACACATGTATGTATATATATATATATACTTTCATAGATATGCATATAGTTGCAGTATCTTCATAATTATACATATACATATACATATACATATATACATATGTATCTATCTATCTATCTATCTATCTATACATACATACATACATACATACATACATACATACATACATACCCAGCGCGTTTCGGGAAGACAGGGCTCATGCTTGCCCCTCGTAGGTTGCAGAATCCAGAGGAAGACGCTTAATCGTTTGCCACAACTACCATTCAAGGTTTTCCACATGCGAAACTGGTCCATGCCGCCTCATTTACAATGAGAATCCTCTGTAAATGACGTGATGTCAGCGAAAAGTGTGCACCGCACCACAGCAGGACAGACGTGCGCAGCAAGCATTCTGTGTTAATTCTAGGACGCAGGCACCAGATTTGCACCATGTGGTGTAAATAGTAGGATGCGGGGAGTTGGCAAAAGCATGTAAACAAGGAAAACCAGTATCAAGGACAACAACAAGGCCGAGGCAAACTCCACCCCTTTCACACAGGGCTTTGCATGGCACTAATGTGATTACACGAAGCTGCGTCGCCACCCCCGAGGCGACGCGTAAGCAAGGCAGAGCGAGTGACTAGTACCGCGTACACCTCAACTGACAAGAAGGCACAACCTATAAACTAGCACGGACAGCAAGAGAAGACACTGAAAGGTATTCGGGTGATGCTTGCGGTTGCATATTGCAGTTTTACTGGCCTCCAAGCACCACACCTTTGCAGTGAGGTTGGGCTCTACTTCGCCACGTGGATCTGCCGTGCTTTGAAGGAGAAGTTTGATAAATGGACGCACAAGACACAGCTTAGACAATGAACATCCTGCACAGTACTCTTAGGGTGACATGTCAGGCAGAGATATGTCCGATGGATGGCCCGGGGCTCGATGTTTTCCCAGAACGCTTTGGCCTTTTTGGAAGCACATGCGGCCAGGATGAGTTGCACAAGCCTTCAAACGAAGCCACGGCGGCAGCAGCCATTGCGCTAGAAGGTGCAGGGATGCTTCATCATGGTGTGCGCGAGATCGTGTGCAAGCGAAGGGAGGGAGAGGGAGAGAGAGAGAGAGGCAATCGTTGCAATCGTTCTGAACTGCATCGAGAAGCCTGGCAATCATGTTACAACGAGGGCACTCCCGTCAATGTATCGGGCGAGGCCGAACCCAAGAACCGGTTGTGCGGGACCGCACGGGGGGGTTCTGCTACGGATTGTTACGGTAGGCGTCTCCTAAGACCTGCAGCAAGCAAGGGAACTTGATTCCCGCGTTAAGCCTGGAGGAGAGTAACTCCCCGCCACAAACCTGGCGAAAGAAAGAGAGGGAGAGATACGAACTCAGGCAGGTGGGACGGAAGGAAGGAAGGAATGAAGGAAGGTAGGAAGGAAGGAAGAGAGATGAAGTGCCCCACGCCACAAGCCCCTCTGACCCACCGAAGAGCGGCTGCAAGGCATCTCCCATCTCTGTAAAGTTGGCCACACAGGTGTCTCATCCCGGTGCAGTGATGGGTGATCATTAGCAGTAGCAGTGGTGGCTGTCCTCGCGCAGGCGACGACTTGCTTAGTGTGGGATTGAGGTCTAAGGCTTGCCAATCTGGTCGGTCACGTGCTATGTTTTGCCATGCGGCCCCGTTCCATGTCCGGGTATGGAAGGAATCGGTGGGATTATGTAGGAATGGTAGGCAGCTCCCTTTGTTCGCTGTTGCTTCCACCGGAAATGGCCGAATCGCGCCCACAGTCCCCTGACTTGCCGCAGTCTTGCCCTGGCCATGCTGCAAAAGCCCACATAAGACATCGCACTTTGTCGGACCAAGAAGGCTGTGCGTGCTCAAGCTCCGATATCTGCTGCCAATGCGGGGCCTCTTTTGAAGACCGGGGATCCGGGAACTATGAGCGCTGGCGTCGCCCCTGCCCCTGTTGGTCGTGGCTGCTGGCGATAATGTGCGCGTTCTTGGGATTGACCTTGAGGCCGTGCTTTCGAAAAAAGCGGTTCAATGTGCGCCCCCCACCCGCAGGTTGTGCGTACAATACACAGTGACAAATTTGAGCAAGCTGTGGGCTCGGGAGCTAATCTTTAGACGGTTTACTTGATTGGTTGGAGCCTTTCGGCAAATCCACCATGTGGACCCCCATCGTTGTCTTTTGCATTCCGTCCTCGGGTGGACTGACGGCTATCCAGAAACCCATGCAACACTTTCCTGAGGGCCCACCCTCAAAAGGATGCCAACCGTACCATACTATACTGAAAGCTCTTGAAGTCCTTGGCCTACGTCGTCGCTGCACGACGGTTGGAAGTCCCTAAAATCAGTTCGAAGTGACATAGAGCTTTTATGTAGTCCCAAATCCCAAACAGCCCTAGATGACGAAACCCACTTAGGAGATGGTTTTTGCACATTTTTGCGCAGGCGAACTCCCAATCTGAAATCCATGTCCGCATGTCGGGTCTTCTGCACGAGGAAAAATCTGGGTCGCAGCTCTGTGCCTGTCTCTCCTTTTCACTCCCTTTTAACAGCCAAGGAGACGGGTGGGTCTGCCGCGTGGGGTCCTGGCTCGTCGCCCATACTCGGCGAAAGATTTGGAGAGAGCGAGCGAGGTGTATGAGTTTGCCCATGGGCCCATTATGGCCCATTGCCTCTGCAGTCCTCAGAAATCATGGTACATGGTTTTCTTGTCACTGCTGTCTATACTGCTGTCTTTCGGAGGCTGTACCCTACGCGATGCCAGGCCGGAATCGAATTGGCAGCAAGTCGCAAGCCTGATGTGATTTCCGTAAAATGGTGCTTACACCCGGGATGGAGGTCAAAGTTTTGCGCACGGAACTGATGGCTGTCTGTTGCTCCAGGTGGCTCAGCTCGGATGTTGGCTTCATGTCCCTATTGCTGGAATCTATCACGGACGTTCTGCCGGTGGAGCCACCAAAGTTTGCAGAAGCTGCTCCATCGTTTTCCGTGCTTTGCGTCCTTTTTTGTTGAAACGTCAATTTCATGACTCTGAACTGCCGACCCTTCTGGCAATTGCTGACTAGTGACAGATACTTTGCCTGGGACTAGTCGCGACCTGAGCACTGCAGTGTATAGTGTTGCTCTTCTGCCGACGACAGACCAGTGCACCGTCCTTGCGCAGATCTGGCGCCTGGGTGACATACGACTCTGGTGTCAGACGACTTTTGCTGGAGCTTTGCTGATGACGCTAAAGGTGCGTCAACAACAAGCGCGCCTAAGAGCCCCCAGTCTGGTGGATCCATCTTGTGACCGGCAGGGCTTTGTTTCGTGGGCTACGGTCGTACCAGACGCCCAAGGATGGAAGGCTTGGCACAGTTCCGCACGTCAGAAGTGGCAGCAGAGCTTGCTTCTGCAGCAACTTTGCAATCGCAAAAAGGCATGCAAAGACAGATTGGGTATCGACGGGCTGCGCTACTTTCGGGAGGACGTTCCTGAGTCCTGCATCCGCTTGGCTACGAGCAGCATTAGATGGCGCCTGCCCCTGCTCATGCTCCTCCCGCTTAATTGCTGCGCGGTTCCATCCACCCTGCTGGGAACTCTATTGGGTCGCCAGTGAGCCGTTGTCGTTGCAGAAGTGCCTGTTTTCACAAGTTGGCGCAGACTCTTCATGATCGACAATGCTCCATGTAGTCAATGTAGTTTCTCCTGCAGCTGCGCTTGTCTCGCAAAGCTGATTGGCTAGATTCAACAGGATCGGCAGGTCGCGGACATGTTGGCTGACATCTTGCTCCTTGAGGTGGGCCGATGAATCTTCTCATATCTTCTCGTTGTCCGGTGCCGCCTGACAGAAGCTGGCCGACAGGATCGTCGGCAGTGTGTTTATAGAGGTTTCCCTTACTGCTCCAGTGAAGGTGAACTGCAGATGCCGCCTGCAGGTTAGAGGCTTTTGGTTCGCACGTTCGAGGCGGAGACTGTGTGCAGATGCAACGCGGCTGGCCCAGGCTGCAAGATCAAGCTTTACTTTCTGTAGATAGATCCACATGGATGAGCGACTCGTTATTTGCCAAGGTTCAGTGGTGGCACCAGTTTGTCGGTACTTTTCTGTACCAGTCTTTGTGAGGCACAGAGCAGGATTTCGCGATTTCTTGTTCGTTTGCCGAACTACATCTTGCAAGTCTACAGTCTCTTTTCTCAGCTGTCAGCAGGCTAGCATCGTGCTATCGTCGGGAACCTCGCAGCGTGGTGCAGAAGAGGCAGGCTTTTCGCAACAATCCACCAGTCGCGGTAGCCATGCAAACCGTCTCTGCAAGACGACAGCTTGTTTCCTGGAAACCAACACATCCTGTTTTCAGGGCTGACTGTTGCAGCTCAAGCTGTCCTGGTTCATGTGAGGCAGATGCTCTTCTGCCAGCAATAGCGCAGTGCATGAGGCCACTGTGGGGTACCCTGCAGCAACTCATGCAGACTGATAGCATGTCTTGGTTTCCTCTGCGGTCAAGGATTGCACCAGGCTCGGCTTCCCATTTTGTAGCAGTGCAGACCAAAAAGCCCATGCCGACCACATCTACTGGTAGCAATCAATAAACAGTTCGTATCGAACGCTCTCAACAGAATGGACGAATCTCATTTATCGGCAGCTGTCTGAACTCCGCACCCGCATGCATCCTCGCCAAAAGAAACAGACCAGATCGCACCTTCACCCCCTCAGTCCTGATGCTGGCTGAAAAGTTTGAACGAAGCAGACATCCGAAGATGTGAGCTTATGGATATGAAGGACGCCAGATGCTTTTCCCCACTACATCCCAACCCCGCCTCCACGCATGCACCCCAAACATGAGGAGGGCATTTCCGCTGCGTGTACACAAGCCGCACACAGTTGGACTTGGAGTAAGAGCTGCGTTTGAACAAAACGTCATGCGTCACGTGTTCAGCTGTTGGTCGAAGCTAAGCGCATGCGGTATAAAGCTACTTGCTGCCGGCCTCCAGTTTCCAAGTGGAGGTATGCAAGGAGGATTGCCAACACCCTGCTTGCATCTTATGTGGAGACGAGGTCAATGCTGCAAAGGCCCTCTACAACGCAGGATTTTGTTAACATGTAGTGACGTAGTGCCGACAAGCTTTCGAATTGATCGGCGCATATCGGCGCTCGGAAGTCTGCGCGGAAGGTTTTACAGCCGCCTACTTCACTAGCCCTGCCAGATTTTCTGCGGCGTATGGGCATAACCTTTCGGTTCGGGCGGTCATAAATGCGGGTCTGGCGGAAGTTGCGCGGAAGATCCACTGAAGCTGAACGTCCATCTTGCGACCCTGGGCCGATAACAAGCCCCCGAATGACGAAGCTTTAGCAGACTGAAACAAGCTCTTCTAAATGACAAGACTAGATGACTAGAGTGCTACAAAGCCAGCTGTGCAAAAACCCTCGGATGCGGAAGAGCGTGGAAGGCCGGGCGGAAGCGGTGTCTGAACACTGTGCATTGTCAGCGAAAATTCGGCAACGCCACCGTCGAAATGCCCGGATATGCACGGTACCAGCAATAAATGACGTTGTTCCATCCCCGAAGATTCTAGCAACGGTTCTGCTCCGCACTTGTTCAGGTATCTGCTGGTGGCTTTGACGGTTGGAAACCTGGTGGTACCAGTGCTTGAGGGGCGCGGGCCGCATCACATCAACGATGATCGCCACCACCGCACTGCATACAGCAGAAAGTACGTGCAGGGCACAACGTGCCGAAGCTGTTGCCCTTGGCGTAGCCGGCAGCCCGGCATTGGGTACTGCACATCGACACCTGTTTCGGCGTGCAAAGTGCGATTTCCAGGTCGTGGCAGTTGCTGCCAGAGGCTTGGCGACCGTGTTCACTGATCACCGCAAACAAGACTACGGAATGGACACAGGAGGTTCCTGGCAGGTAGGTACTGTAGGACAGATTCATGCACCAGCAAAAGCTCAAGCTGCGGACCGTCTAGATTGAGATTTTGCGCTATGGTAAGTAAAGTCGATGCAAGCGCACCAGCTTAGGTTTGCAACAGCCCCGTCCACGCCTCAAACTGGAAGCTGCATTTGCACCAAGAAAAAAGCATTCTCAGCCCTGGGTTGACTGGGCCCACGGCAGCAGGTCTTGGCTCTGGCGGTGGATGCTTGGTGCCGCAGCTGGCCAGTGGAAGGCAGGTCAGACGAAGATGTGCAAGGTCCATGGCATACGCTTCCCCAGTGTGACTGGAAAGTATGCTGCTTTCTCAACGGCTGCGAAGCTCAAAGTGCCAGAGGGTTTTGTGATTCGCGGGCAGAACGAGAGATGATCGCTGTAACTGCTTATGAATCATGCGAAATAGTGCGTTGTGAGGGTCCCAAGGCCCAAGTCATACATCACGCCCTGCTTTGCATAAGCCGTAAGACTCCAAGTTACACTGTGTGACACCAGTGGTTTTCGCAGAGCTGCGGCATGTTGCGGCTTTGGGGGTTGCTTGACAAGCTTTTTCCAGGGTGCAGCGAGCTTCGGAAAGCGTTTGAGCTCGCCTGCCCGAGATGCTGCGGCACCTGGCTTGGCTGATGCGACGCCATTGTCACCAACATCCACTGCTGCGCTGATGGGGTTTGCCAGGCTTCCAGCCCTGGCCGTTCAGTTCTGTTTGAACCATTCTTAAACTAGAGTGTTCGATTCTTCATTAGCTGTAATATCTGCTAGCATTTGGCGGCTGAGTCAACCTGGGCTTGCCACGTGTTCGAGGAGCTGGCTTCGAGAGGCATGGGAAAGGAACATTGAACAGGGGCATCCACTAGATGAGCATTCAGGGCCTTACAGGCAAAGGTGGGTTCAGAGATGTTCAGAGTAGGCTCGGATGAAGGATGATGAAAGGGCTGCATCCCCAAGGTCGCGCATGCGAATGGGCCCTGAGAGCTTCAGTAGCAGCACCCTGCTGTGCTACGCTGCGCTGATGTCGTGCACACTGCCAGGTTCACCGGCGAGGAGGCGGCAACCTGCTCTTGCACTTGCCCCTGTCATGCACAGTAGCACGTAGAGCATTTGCAGGACATGGAGCACAACCTGGTGGACTTGGGCAAGGCCGCATGGCCTTCTCTCGAGCTTTGAGAGGGCAGCACTAAGCTCGCTCGCCTCACGTCTCCGCATCCGTTTGAAGCTTTCAGGTTCTGATCCCACCGCCGTGGTCGGAGCTGTCCGGCACGATTGGCGATTGCACGTTGCGTCTGTACTGTGCGCGAAGGAGTTGTCGCCACAAGTTTGAAGTGCATTGTGATAGTAGTCATTCTTACAGTGATATGTCTACACTGCGGAATTGTCGACATGTCGGTAACAGCTTTGGTCATATTGGTTTCTGCCGGGCAGTGCAAGCGTCAAGCCAGGTGGGGCGGGAGTATTGCTACCTTCGGCAGCATCCCCTTCCGGAAGCATCTGCCCAGAAGGCGGGAGCTGTGAGATTTCGGGAGAGTCAGCTTCTGAAGTCGAACTTCCATTCCAGATCCTGCAAGGGCGTTATGCAGCAACTTCTGGCGATCCTCCGCCAGTCCCAGGTCCAATCAGTGTTCGATGTGTTAGGAGGCTGTGAGATCGCTTGGAGTTTTGCACGTAGGCACTGGAGATGTCTCCATCCAAGATTGAACCTGCTCAGATGTGCTTGCACAACCATGAATATGTACTTGAGTAGACGGGAGAAGGGAGCATCGAGCGGGGCAGTGTGTGGTGAAGGTGGGTGTCAAAAATTGCTTGAGGAGCAGCTTGCAAAGAAGGAGCAGAAGAAGATTGAAATGCTAAAGAAGGACAGGGCGGACGCGTGGGCACCACACAAGTCTGAAGAACGAAGCTTCCAGGAGCAAGCTGACGAGCTTGTCAGCGCGCAGCGTTCGGACCGGTTTGCTGAGCAACGCATTCAGGAGGCGGCCCACGTGCTTTCAGTGCAATCATCTGCATGAAGTTCAACGCTGTCTGGTCTAATATACCCCACCCATACTCGCACAGGGTGTCGCTTGATTGGGTGCTGCCGTGAGGCTTTATCTGATCAGCAGAGAATGCTCAACAGCAGAGCGAGACGCAAGAGAACCCAGACGCTGGACTTTCGTCAGAGCGCACCCTGTCAGCATTGCTCCAGGCCTGTTGCAAAGCCACCGAACATACTTCCTTTCTCTTGAGAGGTTCCTACTACTTGAAGCTCCACTGAGTCATGTTGCAAGGAATCCTCACCATGCTTGAACTGGAATAACTGGCAGAAGATCTGTTTTTGCGTCCGGAAAAGGAGAGCAGGCAAGGCTGACCATGCACAAACAAGACGCATCAACACATACCCTCAGTTACGCGGAGCGAGAGCCATTGAACTAAGGGACCTTCTGCCGATGGACTTCTCCTTGCAAGTGCGATGAGCGTGATGAAGCCAAGTCGTTCAGAAGGCTTTCTCTGAAGCTCTACAGCCACAGAGACAGTGTGCGTGTTTAGCTGCTGCAGCGTGTACCGATAACTTGGAACAAGCTGCAGCAGAAATGTAAATCGTTTATCGGTGCATTGCATGTTGGTCAAAGGCTGCCAACACCCGTCCAATAACAAGCTGTTACGCAAAAGATCTCCGAGCATTGACTCTCTGCAGAGCCTCAGGAGCGTGGCTTGGCCAAGTCTGGGTGTGCGTAGGAGGAGGGTTGATGGCAGACGGAGCCTAGGGACGTGTACAGGATGCTTTTGCATCGCTCTGGTTTTCGTGGGCCTTCAGCCGTTGGGCTCTAGTCCGGGTTTGCATATGGCTTCTGAGATACCCCGGGATGCCACATTAATACAAACTCCTCGTAGGAGAAGGAAGACTCTGCACGCAGCAGCCAGAGCATGGTGCGGAGGAAGTTGCCTAAGAGAGGAGCCACAGAGCGCTGAAAGAATTGTTCTCCGTGTTATACATATGATATGTACACATGTATGTATGCATATTATCTGCATATATATATATATATATGCACACATTCATATGCAAAAGTAGGGCCGTCACATATTGATTGACCCTTTTGCTTTTAGATTCAGATCTGGCACCCCACGGTATTGCGGAATTCGAGGATGCGGTAAAGCCCAACGGTAGTGACTGCGTCTGGGAATTTGCGCGATGAAGAGTCGAGGTCGCCGAAGGTCTTTGGAAGTCTCGCTTTGCTTTTGCAACTTGCTGATGCGATCTTAGAGCGACCAGGTTCCTGTGCTTCTTTTAGTGCGCACGCAGTACTTCGAAATTTGCCCTGAACTTTCAGCTTTGGTTCGAGACGTGCCTCGACAGTAGCCTGGCTTAGCCATGTCTGCTGGGGGAAACAAGTATGTGACGGTGGCGAGTGGGAAGGACGGTGGGGCGGTACAATGCTGCTTCTATGGCTGGATAATTGTGTTTACCTGCATCCTCTGTAAGATCTTCAAGGTGCAAGGACCGGACCCAAGTGCCCGTCCCATTTTTTGATGCCCTTTTGTTCAGGTCTGCTCTAGGCATAGGCTGGGATGAAGGGAGTATCCGGTGAGTTGCGTAGGATTTTTCAGCCCATCCAGCCCGGAGGAGAGAACAAGGTCATGACTTACACTGTGCCTCACTTGATGGAAGAGTTCCAGTTCTCGCATGCTCATCTTGGGGGCTTCTTCTCAGCTGCAACGATCATGGCTGGCACTGCTCAGCCCATGCTCGGTAAGGCCGTGGATTATTTTGGGGGGCGGATTTGCATCTCGCTACTGCAGCTCGCCATAGGCGTCTCACTCGCAGTCTTTGCTCACTGGTATTGCGCAGAGAACCGGCCGTTGCTTCGCATGGAGGCCAGAGCCTGAGCCACTCCTTCAAGGAAGCTTCAGTATTTCGGTGCTCACGCCTTCAGCATGTTTGCAAGCATGCTGTGCCTCTTGAATGCCCCCACCACCCTGAAGCCCAGAAGACGCCTCGCATTTCCACCGTTTGCCATCAGTCAGGCGGTCTCGGTCTTCTTCTTGCTGCGGATCTTGTGCCTAGGCGCAGGGGAGACGTTTCCCAACGCCCTTGTGCAGCAATGGTTCCACAAGAAGCGTGGCCGTGCCATCGGCGTAATTTTTACAACCCAATGGCTCGGCCAGGCTCTCTTTGGCACATTCATTGCCGGTATCGTAGATCGTTACGGTTGGCGTGAGGCCGCTATGCTGGGAGCGGCTGTGAATCTGGCATTGGCACCCGTGAGCCTACTGCTGCTGAGGAGGAGCCCTGAGGTTTGTGGTTTGATGCCGGATGGATCCACCCCGAAAGATTCGGCAATCGTGATTGTGGCGGAAGAAGCGCCTGAGACGAAGGATAACTTGAAAGAAGAGGAAACACCGACAGATTTGCGGAAGTTTTGGGCCCACTTCGGACTTACTTTCTTCTACGCAATGATGTTTGGTGGCTCTGATTTCTACATGGTGGAGATCATTGAAGAGGCATCGCCAATGCCAGAAGTTTCTGCTGTGTCGGTGCCCTGGCACATCTTCACTCCTTTGGCTGTGGTCACTTCGATCGCACTTCCGGCTGTCGGTGAGTTGATGGATGCACACAGTAGCCACTCAAAGTGGCTGCCGCCAAGTCTGCTTGCCTTAGCATGCATCCTCGGATCCATTGCTACACTGATGCTCTCCTCGATCAGAAGTTGGTTTGCAGCAGTTTGTTACGGTGTGCTGCGTGGGATCAGCACGGGAATCTTGCAGACCTTGCTCTTGGCAGGCTTGTGTTTTTCTGCCCAGGGAGTCAGTCGAGCGGAGATCGGTCGTATTCTGGGCTCTAATTTGTTGTGCAACTTGGTCGGTACAGGGAGTGCGCCTTTCTTGTTCGGCATCTGCCGGGATCTTTTCGGCAGCTTTGGTGTCTCCCTATGCGTGCCGAGCGTGCCCATGCTTTTCCTGGCAGTCTACTTTACTCATCAGGCCTTGTGGTTTAAGACCGACGGAAGTGCCGTTCAAGGCCTTGTGGTTTAAGACCGGCAGGCTTGTTCTTTTAGGACGACAGGCCGACCAAGGCTAGAGAAAAAGAAGCTTGGCCGTTCAGTCACTTGCCGTTGGTGTGATTGCTAATCTTTTGTTTCAGATGAGTTGCTCTTGGCCGCATACTGAGGCTCGTGAGCATACGTCGGTGATAGCGATCAACAAATAGATCGTAGATTTGTATAGTATATGCATGTGCATATTGTATGTAACCGATTTTTGCCTTGTTCTGCGACTTTCCCTTTCAAACGACGCATCAGAACGAGAACGAGAATCAAGAGTTTCTCCAACTGTGGCTGCCGGCGACCGGCGAGACAGGGCGAGACTCTTGTGAAGTTGCTATCACGTCATCGTTTGCAATGGACTATGCCTCTCTACCTGGCCTTGGCGACGATGAGTATCCGGGATTTCCTGCTGAGGAGTGCCCCGCTCAGTGCCCGGACCTTTCGGCGCACAACTCGATCGTGGCGGAAGTGCTCCGACAGAACCCTACGATGTACGCTGAGCTCAAGGGCAAGAAGACGACTGCTGGCGTTACGCTTGCGAAGTGCATCAAGACAGGTATGGATAATAAAGGGCATCCCATGATCAAGACCGTGGGCATGGTTGCTGGTGACGAGGAGTCCTACGACATGTTCAAAGCAATGTTCGACCCAGTCATTGAGGAGCGTCACGCTGGTTTTAAGCCTGATGCTAGACATCCGACAGATCTTGAGTGCTCCAAACTCAGCCTAGTACCTATAGATCCGACTGGTAAGTACGTGATCTCGACTCGAGTGCGTACTGGCCGCTCTATCCGTGGATTTCGCCTGCCCCCAAGCTGCTCAAGAGAGGAGCGCCGTGAGGTGGAGCGCGTGGTCGTCCAGGCGCTGAAGTCTCTGAGTGGAGAACTTTCTGGTGATTACTACCCTCTGTGTGGCTCTCAATCATATGCTGAGAAGGCTGGTGGCATGACCCAGGAGCAGGAAAATCAAATGCGGAAGGATCACTTCCTCTTCCAGGAGCCAGACTCGACTCTGCTGCTTTCCTCCGGTATGGGCAGACATTGGCCCGATGCTCGTGGCATCTTCATTAACGAAAAGAAGAACTTCATGGTCTGGCTGAACGAGGAAGACCACATTCGAATTATCTCAATGCAGATGGGCGCTGACATGAAGGAGGTCTTTGCTCGGTTTTGTACCGCTGTGAAAGCAGTTCAAGAGGTTGTCAAGAAAGAGGGGCGGGACTTTATGTACAACGAGCATCTTGGCTATGTGCTGACCTGCCCTTCGAACCTCGGCACAGGCCTGCGTGCTTCTGTATTGGTGAAGCTGCCACATTTGTCAGCTCGCTCTGATTTCAAGGAGATTTGCAGGAAGATGAAGCTGCAGGTTCGCGGCGGTGCTGGTGTCGACTCGGCCTCTTCCGGAGGTGTGTACGATGTCTCTAACCTGTACCGACTGGGTATCTCAGAGGTAGAGCTGGTGAATGTCGTGATCGAAGGTTGCGCCAAGCTTGTGAAGATGGAGCAGTCTCTCGAGAAGGGTGAGTCGATGGATATGCTCCCCTGAAATGAGTGCGTCTTGTTTTAGGCCCTGCCGGGCAATGGATGCAGCGTGTGGATCGTTCTTTAAACTACCCACACTCCCGTGAAACGGGTGCGAGGGTAAAAGTGGCCATGGGGAACGGTTCATTCCTAAAGCTTCAGCTGTTTTCAGGAGATGGCAAAACGTCACGTGCCGGGACCCCTACTCACTGCCACTCACTGCTCACCCCACTCGCTTTTCCTAACCCTGGGCGCAAGATCCAGTAAACCCGGAGCCCCAACTCCTAAGCGCTTACAAACCCTAAACCTTTGTAAACCCTGAACATCCTTGAACCCTAAACTACCCTAAAACCCCTTGTCACTCCAGAGCTTCGGGCTTGAGGTGGATGCCGCACTCCAGAGCCCGAGCTGGAGTCGATGGGTCACTTCATTCTGTAATCTTCAAGCTGCAGGCAGTGTTCGGCAGGATGCGATAAATCAACTTGTGGCTTTTGCAGAGTTTTTGCGTCGGCAGAGTAGCAATTGCCAAACCATGTCGTGGGCTTTCTTGCAACAGAGAAACCGGGAGAACAGGCCGAAATCATTATGACAGCCTCCTTGTTGGCGCACCGCGTTCTTGACGTTGCATCCACGTGCATCTGGATGTGAGATGTGTTTGGATGCAAGGGAATTCTGCGCGGTCTGCTTGGCGAATTCTGTGTGGTGGCCAGTCTGTGCGGGTACAGTACGAAATGTGTTGAGCTGCGATAGATAACAAGTCCTGACGTGTCCTGGGTCCTGTAGAGGTGGAATGTGCAAAGTGTGCACCATCAGGTTTCTGTAGGCTCATCGTCTCGCGTTCCTGCGATCTCCCTAGTCGAGGTTCCTGGCGCTGCCTTCTGCCACGAACGTCATGGTGTGGTCACACATAGGGACGATTGAAAGGCCCTGATGGTATGCACGAACAGCGGCATATTTTGTTGGCTCGAAGAGATCTACATCACCAGCAAATTTGCAAAACATAAAGATGCACTGCGTACTGTAGCATCAGCGATGCATTGTTCTGTTCATGTCAGCTTAACAAAGCTCTTCCTGGCCTCCATGGAAAGCTCTGAGCCGACCTCAGATTTTGTATCCAACAGCTGTCCTCGGCCGCTACGCTGTGCGAAGGCTACAAGCTAGGGCTAGGGCCGATCCCAAATCGCCTGAAAACCAGAACAACAACAACAACAACAACAGCTACCCTACTTATTGCCGCCTCGGAAGGTGTTGCACTTTTTGTCCGCACAATGTGTGCCACAATAGCTGAACAGATGAACTCTGCTGCGAGCTGAAATGAAGAGAAAGACTAGTGCTGCTGCTACTACTTCCCACTGCTACTGCTACTACTACTACTACTACTACTACTACTACTGCTGCAACATGTCCTGCTGCAACATACTGCTCACAAAAAAAATGCCGAAACATCTCTTCTCACGAACTGCTGGGTGTTGAGAGAATGCCGTCCAGCTATGCTAACATGCCCTGCCAGCAATGAACATATGTGACCCTTCCGGGTCTTATAGGGCTTGCAATGTAAAGTTCTGCAGTAGATCGCTAATGCCACGAACAGCAACCAAACGTCTTCATCACCATTGCATCGACATTTCTTACCCTGCAGGAAAGTACGTAACAGTATAGATCAGGGATCGGGTTGCCGAAGACGAGTTTACCTACTTAGACGTGATTTGGAAAGTTGAAGATGATTTATCAAGTTTGGTGGTGATGGAAGCAAAAAACAGCTCCACATGCATGTTCTGTTTATTCAACGTTTAACTTTAAATCTGCAAAGTGTCGCCTTGTTCTAGCACGTAGAGCCGACTTCGATCTTCAAATGCTGATCGCAAAGCAAAGGCCGCTCATGGTGTATCTATGCCTATGCATGAGAAGCATCTCAACAAGTTGAAAGTCTATGCAGAACCACCTGCTGAGACATGATGATATTCTCCGCAATGTAGGTCTACGTTACACGTATGACTAGGACTACGGCTCCAGAATTTGAGGCGACCTCCTTTGTGTTATTTCAGTAAGTAGTAAACACAATATGATCCCGGTTCGGCCGCCCCCCTCCCGTTTTCCTCTCTCTTCCGAGGTGTGGTTCTCCCCCTTCCCCGCTGCGGTGTGGCCGCCCCTGTGGTGTTGTGTGGTTGTGCCCGCGGCCCCTACAGCAGCAGCGACATCAGCATCACCATCATCATCAGCATTATTATTTTCATATTCATCATCATCATCATCCGCATCATCTTCATCATCATCATCATCATCGTATCATCATCAATGTCACCATATGGGGGGGGGGTCGGTGAACCGAGAACCGGGATCAAACATGCTCAACTCGTGCCCACATCACATATTGGTGGTGTAACCCACTTGGGTCAAACTATGACCCCGAATCAGACAAATAATACCCTTGAGAAGTCTTGACTTTGCGAAGTTTGAGCCCTGGACCCCTGGGTGTGCACAAAAGGTTTAAAATTCCAAGCGAGATGGTCCAATGGTTGAAACACAGCTTCTCGATTCACATAAAACCGGCTGGTTCAAAACTATTCCCAAAGACAAACAACAGGATTGTTTTCTCTAGCAAGTTGTAGATTGGCTGCAAAGACGAATCATAGATAATCATAGCTATGGCTGGCTAAGTCGACAAAGCATGAAGCTCTTAGCTGCTAGTTACATCGGTCGTTTATCCTTGAGACTTGTTACTTGCTTACAGCGATGTGGAATGACATGGCTAAACTTGAGAATTGTAAGCGACAGGTAAGTGTGTTGCTGTTACTTTGCTTGGGACTTATGCAAAAATAACTCCAGTGCCTGGATTCAGTTCGAGATTATGATCACGCTTGTCAGTGGTTTGCAGCATGACAGCAGCATGAAACTAATTACTGAATTTGCGCGTGCGTGTATGAGCGGATAAAGCGAGATGAGCTTACTGGGGTATGGACACCACATGTTAATGCGCGCTGATAACGTAGCCAAGCCCTTGCACCGGCACCAGGTTTTCTTGCAGAGGCTGCCTTCTCAGGCTCGAGGGGAGGATTGATTTCGGTTTTGAATCTGGCGGCTGCTAAGCATCAGCGGAGCCGAGTACAGAGCTCTTACACGTCACGCTTGTCATGGCATGTCATGCACAGGTGCAGCCCAAGCAGGAAGGAAAGGCAAGGCACATCTTGCTCCTGACCCGCAGGCGCTACATTCAGGGCCGGTGGGTTCCACCAGCAGCTGGCAGCCGAGGCATTCACTAAAGCACTTTGGCAATTGAGAGAGCTGCCAAGCTATAAGCAGGAGGGCCCGGATTCGCCATCGCAAGGCTGGACAGCGTATGTAAATATGGCGTAGAGACCGTCGCTCCCGGCAAGTTCCAGAAGTCAGAACTTATTTAGTTTGGCTTCTCTGCGATTTCTCCATGATTGCACAAGCAGTGTGGTCACACTGCAGCGTTCCTATGCTTAGTGTCAACGGAGTTCGTCAGTCCCAATGTCAGCACGAGGCGCTTACGGCAGGCAAGTGTAGCACGGGACCTCCCGCTGTGGTGCATTGCCTTGTTCGACGACACTCGTGTTGTTTCCCAGTCCTGTGCTTGCTGCATCTGCCAGGGACCCCGAATTCAGTATAAACTTCTCAACTTTCAGCGCAGCGCGTCCGAACTATTGTTGCATCCCGCTCGCCGCCCAGCTAAGTGGGTCTGTTTCTTGGCGGAAATCGTGCTCCGTCCCGTGCTCGTTTCGCAGTCAAATTACTCGACGTCGTTCAAATCCCAGCAGGCTCGCCACGCCCTTTGGCGGCTCTTGAAACGATTCTTGAACTATACCAAAATACTTTGAGTCGGTGGTTCTGCTATGATTTCGATTGAAGTTGGTTTCGGGTATTGTGATTGGCCGCTTCTTACCTTTGTTATGCATATTCGCGGAAAATCACAGCAACATCGCGGATGGACACACTAGCACAGACGAACGAAGCACGGAGAGAGGAGAAGTTGCTTGGGCCCCCGTTTTTAAAATGATCATATTCTACTTTGTGTCGTTTGCCGGGGCTGTAAACCTGGGTTCGAGCGGGGGGGCAACCCTTTTTCCAGACCTGCAGAAAGAAAGGGGCAGAGAGGCGGCCTACGGCCTGCGGGTCAAGTGACGACCCCTAAGCCCGGCAGAAAAAAGAAACTGTTTCGAGACTGACCTTTTGTCTCACGCCGATGCTTGGATTCGGACGATGGGCGTGGCGCACATGGGCAAGGCCTTCGGCCTGGACTCCCAAACGCCTTGCATGCAAGCGAGACAGTGGAGAGTGAGAGGTTTTTAACTGGGCCCTCCACAATGCCTGTAAGGAAAAGAAGCGAGTCTTATGCTTGAGAGAGGAAGAAGAAAGAGATTGATAAATTTGCGACGAAGAAGCGGAAGAGAGTTTGAGATTGAAAACCATCAACACCGAAGCAGCTGACATAATTTTCAGACAGGCAAGGGCTGGTAAAACGAGACCGGCAAAATCGGTTGTATTTGTTTATCGCAACTAGCAGGCTAACTTTAAACCGAGGTAGTGAGGCACATCTCACACACACACAACACAACGGTGTCCTGCCGCGCTTTCCTTCGAGCGAAAAGTCTGAAGCCGGAGGCTTGGGAGGCTTGGGGACTTGTTTACGGTTGTAATGCCATGGAGGATTCCGGTGACCCAGAGGGAGAATTTTGAGCAGCTGCCATGTCCGAAGGTCTTGCCGTCTCCGGGCAGTTTGGCTGCTCAAGTTGCGGTTTGTGGCCTCACAGGCAGATGGGTCAAGTCATGCCGTGCCGGGCAGTGTCACTCCAGCATACTCCAGCCAGCACTGAGCCCTGCACAGTCCAGCGAGCGCAAAGATGTAAGCGCCCTCGATGGGGAGCAGCTGTAGCTGAAGAGGTGCTCCGAAACATCCATGCTCGCAAGCTTGGTTGTGAAAGTCGCCTGCTGTACTTCCAGGTTCTGAGTACACCTCCTGCACAGGCAGAAGGTGAAGCGGTTGTTGCAGCTCGGCCGTGAGCTCCAAAAATCGACCAGCGAGGGCCCATTAATGATCCGCAGCAGCGCAGCACAACAAGCAGCCCAGATATGGCTGCACGGCCTCGGCGATACGGGACAAGGCAAGATTCATAGCAATCACATCTCTCAAAGAATCTGGGTGGCCATTCCCTGTGAAGGTTGGTCGACAACTGCTCCAGCTCTGCAGCAAATGGGCATCACGCCAAGCTTTCTGGACCCCACGAGACCGGCATGCCTGCACAGAAGATTCGACACGCTATAGAAATTCACAGCAGTGATCAGCGAAAAGACGGTATTTTCTGAGGTTTGCCCATGTTGCGGTTTCTCTTTCCTACAGCACCGCTGCGAGGCTCAGGGATGTGGGGCCTCATCAATGCAAGCTAATACAAGACAGCTCACCGCAGGCATCGGCAGCAAGGGGCTGCGGCACTCTTGGCCGTCGACTTGGTTATTTTGGTTCCTTCGATAATTACAGGAAGCTAAAGGGAGTTTTGGCTAGTAGCGAAAGTCGAGGTGCCCATACATTTAAACTACAATCGAGGTTTTTTCGGGGCGTTCAGACCGCATAGTCCAGGGAACAGACAGCAGGAGTTCTTAGTGCAACCACGTGACCATTCATGGTCTCACCGGCTGTGAAAGCAGCGCCTTCGTGTCTGGGGCAGCGGTGGCAATGTTTGCCTTGCAAATGCCATGCAGGGGCCGGTCAGGTCACGTCTGCTGTACGAGTGAAATTCATGGGCAACTAGACACGCTGACATGTTACAGCAAACGCATGCAATAGCAAGGAAGCGCATGCTTGGCCTGCTTGTATCGGAAAGATGAGACCAACATTGTCGACTCTTGGCCGCCGTTTTGTGAAGACATCAGTCGAGAAATCAGGTATGACGTGCCAACGCTCGACCCAGATGAGATTTCGAGGCCACAGCCTAAGCATGCCTAAGCCATAATCAGGCTGCAGTATGCATCTGATTACGTTCACATGCTTTGGGATGGTGTCTGGTTGATATCCGTCTTCCTGTGCCATTCGTTTCTTTGGCTTAGGATCCTCCTGACAAGAATCACCATAGCATGAGAAGGCATCGTTGGCATTCGTTTGGGCATTGTCATTGTCGTGTTCGCACGGCTTCTGCTTAAGTCACAATTGATGGACTTCTTCCCCGAGCACCTGTCCGCTCAGAGAAGTCACACGTGGTTGCAAAGCACTAGCGGCACTAGCGCGTGCGTTTTCGCGGTCGCGGCGACGGTTGAGCTCGAAGCAGTCGGCTTCAGTCTGCAGGCCCGCGGCAGGAGTTGAGCATTACTGCAAGTACTCCTCACCGGCAAGTGCCAGAGCATCAAGTCGGCCGGGTGGTCAGGGAGGCGGCAGCTGTTTGCTGCAAACCGGCGTTTCGGAGGCAGAGAGAGGCCAGAGGTGGGCCTCAGTGTGCCACATGCCCACTGACCGGAGACCAAGCGTGGGAAGGTGAACCACTGTGTACTGTTTCGATCGCTAGCCGTGGCTTCATGACCTGCTACGTTTTCGCGGTCTCTTGGCCTCATCCTGGCTTCATCTGGTCGTGACAGCATGCTCAGAAGTACGCACAACACTGGCTGCGGCGATAATCTCAGATACGCTGTTGTTGCCGCTGCCAAGTGGAATCTTCCTCTGTCATTCTGAGTATGATGCATCTGTTCTTGTCAGGATAGCTGTCAGTCGTAATGTGTAATTACTTCGCGGTTGGTCGACCTCTCTTCCAGAATCGGAATGCAACTCTTCGGCCAGAGACAAGCGTGTACGGCTTGTCGGCACATCATTGAAAGCGGAAGCCAAGGGACACGAGGGTTGTCGCATGAAATCCACACTCTACTGCAGGCAGTCTTCGCCTCCCGGCCTGCTGGAGAGTGCAGGTCATATGCCTGCACCTGTGAAATTTCTACAGGCGTTGGCAGAGATTCTCGCACGGTCAGGTGATGTCCTGGGCCTGGTTGAGCCTCATGCGCCCTGAGCCTTAAGCAGTTCGATATGTTATATAATGGAAGCTGCCAACATGTTGCAGGGAATCGGCATCTGGCCATGCCTGCGTTCTGCGCAGTTCGTTGTGTGGCTGCAGATCTTCAAGTTATGCTGACAGTCTGATCCGTATAGTCATAGTCGTTGTAGTTCAATCTGCTTCGCACCGAATCTGGACCAGAGGGACCGGCACGAAGACTTGGCAAAAGAGCAGACGCGTCCTTCACTTGCAGACTTGCAGATATTCCGTTATGTGCCGGCTAGTCCCAGAGAGTCATGACTTCCAAGCGGGATGGCGCCCTTGTGGCCGCTCAGCGCAATTGGGTATAGTTTGGTTTCGGCCACAACAGCAAAAGCTCCATCAACAGACGAGGTAACATCATGGCAAATATGCAGTTCGGGGATGGTAGGATGATGGCCATTTCTGAGGCGAGCTTGAAGAGCTCAGAAGATCAGCCCTCCTGGGCCCGTCACCTCCTTCGACAGGAGCCCCTTAGCGTGGCTTGCTCGGTTTCGCAATGAAGTTCACCACGATGCCAGGATCAAGGGCTGGGCGGCGATGACAACGAGGAGCCGCAATTGCAATTTCCTTGTTCATTCTACCTTTGTCTGATTTTTAGAAACTGCCCAGCAGATAAGGTTGGGTAATTTTCCCTTGTTCATGCCTGCAGAGTTTTCCAGGACGCTGGGCAGTGGAGGCAGCGGTGTAGATTGCAAGTGCGGCAAGCACGCAGATCGAAATTGCAGGTCCCCGCTCTCTGTGAAGAGCAGCGCAGACCTTCTACACTTGCTTCGAGCAGGTGGGCGCGACCGAAGAGATGTCTAATCGTTTTTGGTGCTGTCCTCCTTTCGTGCTTCATGGTGTTTCCGCATTGCCACACCACATCATGTGTCGACCCACGCCACGCAAAGCTCTCGCTCGGAACGCGGACGGCGTTGTGCCATAATGCTCAGGAAGCAGGCTTTCCGGATGCCCCAGATGAAACCTAGAACAGATGAGATGACGACAGTGGCGTCCTGCATCAGTGCTCAGCTGGAGCCGAAGTTGTTGCAGGGAACTGACAACAAGAGTTTGCCCACATGGCTTTGTGACAATGAGGTACTTATATACATGGAAATTGCAGGAGGGTCGAATCAAGTTTCTCGGTGTGAAATGATGTTCTGACGTACAGAAGGCAACGGCTCCCTGGTCTCGAAGCCCTTGGAGCTTCTGGATACAGCAGCCGCGTGACCGCGAGGTGTGCCTTGCAAAGCGGCTAGCAACAACTCCATGCACCCGATTCAAACAAACTGGCACTCTTATTTCCATGGGGCAGTGGAAGTTGATTGCGCAGTTTTTCTGTATCAAGATCCGGTCAGCATGGTCTGACTATAGTTGTTCATTTCAAGAACTTGAGGCAGGGGACGCAGGCCTAGAGGCTGCGAGCATCACGACGTGGCGCACGGAGTGCCCTGGAGCGCCATGACGAAGCTTTAAGTGATAAGCGAAGCTCCACCAGGAAGTGGCCTGTAAACTTTATTATGCCAACGCGGACTCCGAAGAGTGAAAGAGCGCCCTCGCATCCCAAGACCTTGCCAAGGACCATCCCTCGAAATTCCCAAGACTTCAGACCATCCCATGAGTCCGAAAAGTGCACCGCACCGTTGGGGGGGAGCAGGGTTGGCACCTCAGAAGATCCACCCCACTGTGGCAGGAATGCAGCATGGCAGCTTTTGTGGATCTCAATGTGGCCCCCGTAGCGCCACGACGTGACACCCGAAGTTCACGACTCGCAGCTTTTTGCAGGTTCGCATGCTTCGCCGTTTTGTTGCCTTGTCGCCCTTCCTGCTTGAATTCGAGTTATTGTCTTGAACCGCCAATGATGCCTAGAGAGCATCAGCGGCCCTAGTACCAGAAATGCAGCCTTTGTTTTTTCATGGTACCATATCTGGATCTCCGCCTCGTGCCTTGCACGGGCTTCTGTTGGGCATCGGGCTACCCTCGCTTTTGCAGAAATGCTCTTGCAGTGGGCAGTGAAGCCATTGAACTGTACACCGATCGAGCTGCGCCCTGCTGCCAAAAGCCCGGTCTTATGACCCAGGGCGAGGCCATGTGGGCCGACACCGGTGACGAGGAGCCGGTTGGGGATAATCTCCCAATGACGGAAAGCGCAGGAGGAGTGCAGCATCCTCTGCTAAGAGCTTCAAGACCACACATGGGAAAGTCGTGTTTCGGAAGAGCACTTCAAGAAATGAACTCGAACTGACCCGCACCTGCAGGGATGGCACGTTTTGGGTATATTTCGATTTCTCGGTTTCATTCTTGGACAGCACTGGCTTCTTGCGAATAGAGTGGAAGGGGGTCGACCGAGATCAGAAGATCTGGCGTAAACAAAAACAGGAATCATCACTTCAGCCTCAGAGGCCCTACTTCCGGGGTGCTGACTTACAACTTGGCTTGTCATGCATGGCTGCATGGCATGTATGGCTCCACATCGCAAGATCCGCTAGATGCACGAGAGTTCTGTTTACTGTCTCAAGGTTTGCTTTAGGATCCTGACTACCACCGTTCTTGCTTCGCCTCGCTCGCTTTGACTCCTGACAAAATTTGGGAATTCCGTGTTCGTGTTGGGGCCAGTGCGCTGCAAGCCTTGCCTCGAGATCGAATGATTCTTCGCTTACTCACTTTGCCAGAGTGCCGAGAAGGATCATCGAAGCGATGTTGCAAGGCAGTTTTCAAGTTCACATTTTAAGATGTCCGTGTCGCGCAGAGACTGCAAACGAATAGCCAAGCTTGGCAAGCATGTATATTCACAATGAAGCTACTCGTACAATGCCTGAGACCGCGGTTGCTTGACCAGATGGCTGGCACAGGTGATGGCTCTGGCATAGTTGTGGACGAGGAATTAGCGCAGCCGAGACCTTGATTCCGCTAGTTCAGGTTTTTCCCGTGACAACGCGATCGATTTTGCAGTGATGCCGTCCAGACTCGAACTGACACAAGGAGTTACCCCGGAGTTCTAGATGATATCCAGATCCTTCTGAGCGTTCCACTTACCTGGTTGGCTGCAGAGTTGAGCCTGTGCTGTTGCAAGAGATCCGAACATGAACCTGACATTGAACCTCCGTCGACGGTGTTTCGAGGTTCCAAGACAATTCGCAGCGCTGGAGCCCAAGCAAAATAGGCATAGTCACCTTCGAACTGTATGGCACGGGTGTTTCATGGTATGGTGTTTCCGTGCCGTTGCAGAATATGCATATTGACATGACATCACTCGGCGGGCAGCCTTGCAGCTCGCCAAGTGTGGATCTCATGCCTATAGGACCGCTCGCATTGGACTTACGGTCTCTGCTAAAGTCGCAGTGCGCCCTTCCATCTTGCCTTGGTCGCCAATGTCGCCACCGTCCTACAGGCAAGTCGTTCACAAAATCGCCACAATTCGACAACTCATACAACTCTCGTCCA